CGGGGCAGGCGGGAATCGAACTCATGTGGAAGTGACTTTAGATTCTCAGTGCAGTGCTTTAACCCGCTGCGCCACCAGGGAGGGCCAGCCTTTGTCTTTCTTAATAGCCGCACATCTTTACAGAAATACAGTTGCAATTACAGAAGCCCTATACTGGAGCCCACGAGTTGTCCCCAGCTCCCCAGTGTATGTGTGATGCCTCCACTACCGAGCTGTCCTCTCTCAGCTTTGTCGTTCAGTGTCCTGGCCCATGGCTTGGCTCCCCTGACTCCTGGGTGAAAGTGAGGCTCTGTGACAGCTACCTCCCACCTCTTCTACCTCCAACAAAGTAATGTCTCTTGAGAAATACAGCTCTTTTCTCACCATGACTGCTTATCACACGTGATGTTCAGATGGAGCATTTCCGGTGACGAAAATTTTTTCCTTTCTTCCATGTGAAAAGATGTGGATATTTTTCAAAGAAGTTACTTTCATGAAGGGTTTCATTTTAACTTTAAGGGAAGCACCTCTTGACAGGGAGAATCCTTTTTATTAGTTTATTTGGTTTAGTCTGTCTGTTGTTGTCACCCGTGAAAACTCATGAGATTTAGTGAATCCAAGATGACTTGGGTTCAGTGAACCAATGTGACTGTGTTTGCTGCTGCTGTTTCACACTGAGCTGTTTTTAAAATGCTCAGGGAGAAGTGCTTCAAATACCCGCCAACGAATGCTGTCCTGAGTGTGTGGTGAGGACGCCTGGATCGTGCCATCATGAGAAGGAAATCCATGCGGTAAGTGGTTTCTGCCCCACGGTGGACCCTGTGTCAGTACAGCATTGACAGGGAAAACTGAATGCTAAGCTTGTGTGGACAGAGAAATTTTTTCCCTTTGACTGGGTTGGGGAGGACCCAAGGCTCATTTGACTTTCTGTACTTTATGTTTCCTGAATGAAATTAAAATGGTCCTGTATTTTTGTATAGCCCCATGTCAATATTGAATTTGTGTTTGTATAGAGGAGTCCTAGAGTGTTGATGTTGAGGAGGTGATGCTGAATAATAAAAAAATGCCACTTTGTATTTATATCACATTAATCTCTTCACTGGATAGTTACAATCAATCCTGAGTAGGTAAATGTAGCAAATGCGATTATCTATTTTTCAAAATGTAAAGGTTACATTGCAAGGAGCTAAAGTTACTTGCTCATGTCATATTACTAAGTGGCATCACTTGGCCTAGAATTCTGGTCTTCTTACTCTTGAGTCAGGGATTTTTCCATTGGGGGAGAATTTCTAAACTTCCCTACTTTGGGCAGCTTTACACCTTGCCGTAGTGCCATCCTATGCCTTGGAGGATGTTTAGCAGCCTCTCTGGCTTCCACCCACAAGATGCTGTAGTCTCCCCCCCCCAACTCCAAATCTGTAGGCGTGGCCAAATTTACCCTGTGAAGACAATGCTCACCCATGGCGCTCTACCCATGCACCCTGTTTAGCACCATAAGTTCTAGAAATCAGTTATGAGGTTCTTTTATTATACCTTCACATTCCAGAGCCTTTTGGATTAATTTAGAGATATTAAATAAAGACTTAAAAATCTCACTGCAGGGTTTATAATAGAAATTATGAAAATGGGATGGATAAAGTTCATCTCCATTCATGCCTAAATGTTACCCAGAGGTAACAGGTGAAGTAAAATATGATAGTTTAATCCTCATCTTCCACCTGGTATAAACCTTTTCCAAAGTTAATGCTCTACTCTTGCAGGACAGAGCGTAGGTCAGAAGTATTTGATATCCACTCTAAGCTGCTGCTATTCAGTGTATGTCCCTAAAGCCCTGTGAGTACATCACATTTTCCCATGGGACAGGCTCATCTTACTTGAGCCACTGTCCCCTAATTACATGAGGAAGCCACTATCTCATGTCTTTACACTGCGCTGCTCAAAAAGTTGAGTAGGAACTACGCTAGAAGTGTCTTCATATCTGTATTACCTGTGCTGCTCGATTTAGACTGTGCTGTGGCAGTTGGTGTAAACTTTACACAAATGCCAGGGCAGAGCGATGATAGAAATAATGGTAGTTTATAGTGATAGGAAAGGTGTATGGTCAAAACCAATAACCTGAATTTTTCTTTTTTAAGGATTTATTTATTTACGCATATAAGAACTGGGCAGTGAGATGATTCAGTGAGACAGAGTGGGGAGCGGAACAGGCAGATCTATTGAAATGCACTGCTGAGGGGAGTGCTGGGTGGGTCTGGAGAGGCCTGTTGTGCCATGTGGGTCACCTCCCTGGCTGGGGATTGCACTTGTGGTGCAGTGACTGCAGATAGCTTGACAGTGCTGTGCTTTAACTAGTTACGCCACCAGGGAGGGCCCAAAGCTGCTTTCTTATTAGCAATCTTCTATGCTTGACAATATTGACAATATTTTCTATATCTTTATCATGCTCTTCCTTTCCAACCCTTCCCTCCTCCCCATCTTGGAGGCACATAGCACTGAACGTTTGCTAGAATAGGTAGTCAATGATAGATCTCTTCTCCAGCTTGTCCTTGACCTGGCCTCAGGGCAGTTATTTGCTGACCCCTTGTGTGGCTGAGTGACTCTGGGACCACAGATCTGCATAGAGGTCTGTTAGAAATCTGTATGGCCTTTTCTAGAAGAGTTCAGAAGGTCTCCCTTGTCCATGCCTCCTTTGCAGGTCACTCTTTTTTATAACTAAACACAGAGAAAACTCTAAACTATTAAAAACCTATCTATGTGTTATTTTCCTAGACTCATATTTTAAAAAATATTCCCTCAGAAAATGTTATAATTATATTTCTGATAGTTGATGTAACTGAGAAAAAGACTAAAATTTCAGGAACTATAGTTTGAAGAAAAAAGTGTCTAGTGGTCTGGAGTTTGTTGTTTTTTTTTTTTTAAGTTGAGATAATACCTTCTATATTTAATTCTCACTAGAATTAAGTCAATGCTGTCTTACTGTCCTTTGTTCCTCTCTTCACTTGCTCCAGATTTTTGCCAATCCTTCTGAACATTATTCATTTTATTTTTAAAGATTTACTTATTTATGCATCCAGAACTGGGGTACAGGCCAGAGATGCGATGAGAGGATTCACCAGAGACAGAGTGGGGAGCTGAACAGGCAGATCAATGAAGTACACTGCTGAGGGGAGCAGCGAGTGGGTCAGGAGAGGTCTGCTGCATCATGTGGGTCACCTCCAGGGCAGGGATCAAACTCACACTGAAGTGGCTGCTGCCAGCTTGCAGTGCTGTGTCTTAACACATTGTGCCACCAGGGAGTGCCCACATTATTCATTTTATTAAGAGGGTTAAATGGTGGCCTGGGTATGATATAAGTTTCATTTTGTCAATTGCACTACTTGGGTTTTTTCCTTGAGTCTTGGAGACCATTTTTCCCTGTCCCCTTTCAAGTTGTTTGAGAAGCAGTTTCTAGAACGCCTTCCTCTTCTGCTGAATAGTGGTAATCCTTTCTCTTTAGTTTCTGGCTTGCATCCCAAAGGATCAGTTTTAGAGACTCTCCCACTGGCAATAAAAAGGGCTGCTGTCTTAAGAACTTTGGAATCTTCTGAAGAGGCAGCTTTCCCTCAAGAGAGAGGGACTTAGAAAGGAGTGAATCTGGCAGACTGGAAATCAGTTGAAATAATACTGTCCCCAGAGAATAGGGTTAAAATCAGGGAAGATCAAGGGCAGGGTCAGCTGAGGGCATCGTAAGGAGACCACCTTCAGTGCAGTAACCTTGAAGTGAGAGAGGACCTTGAAGTGAGAGAGGACCTCCTTCTCTGGCAGGTAGGCAGCCTCTTAACACAACTGGCATCTCAGCAAGTCATGACAAGTCCCAATGTCTTCCTGGAGTGAGGCAAACACAGCCTTCTGGCTGACTCCAGGTAATTTGAGATTTTTGTATGGGCTTATTACAGCCTGCATTTGGGGGCTATTTCATCCATGACCTCCCCACAGCTATCCCTTCAAATTAGCTTTTGGATCTCTGCCCAGCCTTGCCAACCAGTCAGGGAGACAAGTCTGAATTATGTTTTCCGAAAGTGCTGGAATGTCTTTGCTCCATTCGTTTCCCCACAAATTAGCCAGTGAAAGGGAGGAAAGAGAAACATTAAGCCCTCTTTTTCTCACTGTCCTAATTGAATCCCAGTACCAGATAATGCCATGTCTGAAAAGATAGTGCCTAAAGATTGACTGGGAAATAAAGTGACATGTGGTAATACGCTCCATCGTGTCTGCGTTCGATGGAGTGGAGTAGCGAGGAGAGGTTGGCTTGCCTTGCCTGTCTGTGAGGCTAAAAGAAGAACTAATTTATGGGTGTGAGGGAAGAAATGAATATTGAATTCTGCAGCCTTGTTCTCCTCAAAGCAGAGAATGTAATTATAATATTCACTGAACAGTCCCAGATATTTAGTATTCTAGAACCATAACTTCATAACAGGAACAAATTATGTGAAGAAAATTTGTATTTTTATTTCTGTCAGTAAGGCAGGCAAATACTTTATGGCCTTATCTTTCCATTGGACTTATGTCAACAGCCAACCCAACTTGTTAGTTGGGTGTGCACATGAATATATTTAAGATGTTGTCTGCCAAGTGTGTTTTTGCCCAATGTCAAAAATCTCACCTTTTTCAAAAGGTATTAATGAGGTGAAATGGCACTGCTAAATTTGGGACCTGGTGGGAGCATTACTTTGTGTCACAATTATTCCTTGATTTTTACAAAGCTGTCTTTGCTGCTACAGTGTTTGTTATAATAATAAAGCTTTTTAAAATAGGTCTGTGGAACACTGTAAAGACAATCTATGTCAACATGTGCTGAAGCCCTTGAATTATTAGTCTTCTTCTGGTGAGAGAGGTGTCACTTTTTTAGAGATAGGAGAGGAGGTGAAAATGGAAGGTACTTATGTGACTTTTCCCCCAGAGGGAGGTTAAAACAATTTCTTGCCAGCATTGCATAGTTTTGGGTCACCATCTGGAACTTCTCCTATGTGTGTGTGTGTTTTAAAAGATTTATTTATTTATGCACACAAGAACTAGGGCGTAACCCAGAGGTATAGGGGATGGTGGTGAGAGGATTCACCAGAGACAGAGAAGGGAGCAGAATAGGCAGAGTTGCTGAAATTCGCTGCTAAGAGGAGCAGTGGGTGAGACAGGAGAGATCTGTCCCATGTGGGTTAGCTTCCTTACATGGGATCAAACTCATGCTGCAGAGGCTGTGATAGCTTGATAGAGCCACCAGGGATTCCCCTTCTGTGGTTTTGACATCAAACAGTAGAGTCTCCCTGTTGAATGTTCTCTGCAGTTCCCATAATTCTCAAGCTTACTGTAAAGGGAGCATCCCTGCTTAATTTTGTCTCTTGAGTTAGATAATAGATTCACATCATTAGAGAGCTTTCAGGTACTGAAGAGATTAGTTAATACAGCCCTCTCATTTTACAGATGAAAAATCTTTGGTGATTGACAGGTTGTTATAATTAATTTTAGTGGTCTCTCTTTGAAAAATGGTGTGATTGCAAATGTTTAGGAAGAAGTAGTGTTTCTTAACAGTAGCAAAAACAAGTGCTTGTTAATGACGTGAAATGTCTAAATATTTAGAAACAGCTAACTTTTAATAGAACAAAGTTCCAATTGTTTTATATACTGTCTTCAGATTTTTCCTTAAGATATATAAATGATTCATTCCAGATTTTAAACAGTAATTTGTTCTCCAGTGACAAATCTAAAACTGTTTCTTGGTGAAAATCTAACAATGTTTATTGGTGAAAATTTGCAAAACAGAAAACTATACCAGCAGGAAAAACTTCCACTAGTATTTCCCAAAAATCTGAAAGCCACTGTTACTATGGGGGTTGAGATTCGCAGAGGAGATGGATGGGTAGATGGATAGGTGGATGAGTAGATGGATAGGTGGATGGATGGTTGGGTGGATGGATGGATGGATGCATATATAGATATAAATTCCTTTTCAAATTGTAGTTGTACTGTGTATATAACTTATATCTTGCTTTTTTACATAACATAATGTTGTAAATAGTTCCCTAGCATGCTTTTAGAAAACATGATTTCCTATTATTAGGCATTTGGATAGCTTCCAAGTTTCAGGAAGATATTTCCACATTCACTATAAAGAACAGTGGGATAAAATTACTTGTCTTTAAACTTTTTTTGCATGTTGTTATTCATTTTTCTCCAGAAAACTTCTTAAAATTAAAATTAATAGCTCAAAACATTTAACAATTTTAGTATTGAAGCTCTGATGTGTGCATATATACAGTAATAAAATTCAATTTTAAGTTTTCTGTGTCTAATAATAAATCCAGGAGGAATATCACAGTGCATTTTCTTTTAAAGTGTGGTTATCTTGAGTGGGCCACACAAGTGCTATAGCAAGGAAAGGCTTTTGTAGGAGAATCCCAATTCATTATAATTCACTAGCTCTAATTACTGTGAATTTTAAACTCTTTCCATAACTGATATTAAGTAATATTATCCAATTGTATGATTTTATTTTAATGTTACTTTCATAAACATACTGCCTTAATTTTATGTTGGGATTTATTTTTCTTATTGCTTTTAAATTATTTTATATAGTACTGTTCTAATTAATATAATTTGTAATTATTTTATCAGCTTGCCACATGACTTCTCATTTTGTCTATGTTTTTGACAGACCTTAGAAGTTTTTACACACCACAGCCTATAAAATTTTCTCTTATAACTTTGGCATTTTATGCTTAGACCTTTCAAAGCATAAAGGTCAATTGTCCCCTATCTTTTATTAGCCCAGTAGTTTATTAGCAAACTGTAGTCTTGCCCATTTATATGCTATACTAAATTTGAAATTTTATAATTTAATTATAGTAGAAATAAAAATTACTGGAAAAGGACTTGGCCTTGGCATCCATGTCCATTCTTGCAGTTGCAGTTGGAACATAGATGAGAGAAGGGAACGGGAGAGGACCCAGCATCTTTAACCTCCATGGCTCTTGCTTTTCTTACTAGGCTGCCTCATGTAAAGTGATATCATGCTTTTTCAAGCTTTCAGACCAGAAAGCTCAGATTTACAAACATTAAGTTTGTATTGTCCCATCGGCTCCAAGAGAGAGAAGGTAGATAGAACTAGAATCTGAGAATGTGCCTGTGGCCAAATAAATCCTTGGTTTGTACAACTCAGTGCCTACTTGCATTATTGCTCTGTTGTGTTAACAGTAAGCACCTAAAGGGAAGTAATCTTCATGATAGGTTAGGATTTGGCACCCAAATTACTGGATCACTGTGACTACCTATTACTATCATTGTTACAATAATAGCACCAGGTTATTAGTGATTCTAGAATGTCAGACTTGGCATGCTTGCAACCTGGCAACAATTTGCAGAAAAAAAGGGCTACTGACTTGTTTCCGTAAGACAAGAGTTCTTTTGTGTTTGAGAGAGATGAATAATTTTTCTGGATGTTAGCTTGAGGAGAAGCAAAAAGACATTTATTTTCTATGCTTCTTAGTGACACATTTGTAATATCCAGATTATATATAGGTGATCGAGCCTCTGGAATGTGTGATGTTTTTAATGGAAGCCTAGATATGATTTTTGCTACATTACCTTCTACATATTATAAGGACAAAGGAATGTAGGTGGTGATATTTAAGAAAATGTTATAGAAGTAAAACTGTATTCATTAGGTTAACTTTTCCTACATCTTATAGAAAACCACCATTTTTCCATTGTGCTTTTGAGAACTTATTTTGACAGCTACTTCTCTAAGCAGTCCACATATTTGTTGCTTTTTATATTCAGGATTCCCCTCCTCACCTCAACTCCTCCCCCCCCCCCTCCGTATGTTTCTACATCATATCTGAAGGCAGTTCATTTAAATACTTTCAGTGCTCAGGAAATCATGTAATTCAAAACATCAATCTATTAAGACATTGAGACAATGCTAGCTTTGGGAAACTTACATCCTGACCTAATGTGGATTTGGGGTATCCTGCATGTGTGGGTAGATACCCTTAAGGGAAATAAATTGTTTTGTAGTTTGAGAGACATAGACAGAGTAGGAATCACCTGTTGTCTTTTACACCTACTTCAGGACCCTGAGATCTTGGGGCATTAGGGCTGGGAGAGGGAGGAATCTCATGTGAATGAATAGTAAAGGCAGAGAAAGGAAACAGGTTCAGCGTAAGAGCTATTGAAAAATCATTAGGAAAAATTTAATAGGTGTAAATATATGTTGTTTGTATTTTACTTTGGGCTTCATATAACTTTTTTTAAATTTTTTTTAAAGATTTATTTATTTGTGCATACAGAACTGGGGTACAGGCCAGAGATGTGGAGGGTGAGAGGATTCACCAGAGACAGAGCGGTGTACAGAACAGGCAGATCAACAAAGTACACTGCTGAGGGGAGCAGCGGGTGGGTCAGGAGAGGTCTGCCACACCATGTGGTCACCTCCGGGGCAAGCGGGAATCGAACTCATGTGGAAGTGGCTTTTAGCTTCTCAGTGCTGTGCTTTAACCCGCTGCGCCACCAGGGAGGGCCCCTCATATAACTTTTTAAGGATGCCTTTGGGATGACTTTTATTTCCTTTCTGAAACTTTTAAAATAAAATCATGGGGATAATAGAAAAGTTAATTTTTAGCTGGTCTCTGACTTGGAACATGCAAACCTTGATCTCAACCTTGGCGAGCCTGAGCTTTCTTCCATACTACCTGAGCTCCATCCTTTATTTGTCTAAGAAAGTGTTTGACCAGTGACAATAATCTTTTACTTTTTCTCCTTCACATGCAGCATGGGACAGAGTGGGTCTCCTCCCCATGCAGTGTGTGCTCGTGCACTCATGGGGAAGTCCGATGCACCCCCCGGCCCTGCCCACCACTGTCCTGTGGACTCCTCGAACTGGAATTCATCCCTGAAGGAAACTGCTGCCCAGTCTGTGTGGGCCCCGGGAGTGAGTATGAACTTGCATGAAACTTTACCTTTATGGCTCACCTGGTGACATCCCAACATTTCTTTTTTTGCTCAGTGTGGTTCAAAGAACCCTAAACCTATGCCTGTTGGAACCAGCATAAAGCTTTGCATTTGGCAGAAAGCAACACTGAAGAAAATGATGTTGGAACACATCTTTAAGCTTCATTCCAAAGTTGGGATACTGCAAGTCTCTGATCTATTTATTTTGTCTTGGCGAGATGCATCCCTCTGAATTACATAATTCCTGAAGGGGAGAGGAAGAGAGATAAGAATTTTTGGCACAATTCCATAAGGCCAAGACAGTTCCTCCTGTCCCTTGGATAAGGGAAGAAGGAACAACTCACTTCTCCTTGTAGTATCATTAGCATTACTTCTGCTGACTGATCTTTGAAATGACGTATCTTTCTCTAAGATTCACAAAAACGAAGCAGATATTTCATTTATCTTTATGCAGCATCTCTGCCTATAGCCTAAGGTGGTTCAGCAAGCTGGGGGAAGCTTCCAGACCCTGTCCTTGGAATCCACCCTTAGACCAAGTACCCCTTTTAGTACACTTTAGGGATTTAAGTATCCTTCTGTTTTTATAAGTAAGTATGTGGTACATATTTGCAATAAATGAAAATCATTGTCATTGCTGACAAATAATGGCTAGAATTATCCTTTTATTTAATAGCTCCTAGAAGCTATACTCTATTACCTTTTTCCCTTTAAAAAGTTTCTTTGCTTCTTTCTGACCACCAGTTCTTCCATGCCTAGCAACCATGTACCCTGGAGATCCATTCCAGGGACTTCAGTGTATGCTTAGGGAATTATAAAAGTAGAGTGTTTGCCTTATGCATTTCAGATGTCACCCACCAGGGAAGGACCAACAGCATCTGTGGGTCAAAAAACCTTGCAAGCAGAGTTTTAGGTGGGATAGGGAATGGGTTGTCTGAGTTTGTAGGGTTCCCTCAATAGTTTTAGGGACCTTCCTTTTTTTGGCCCTCCACAAGAAAGACAGATGGAAGCATTTTGCCTGGAGACAGTAGAAGATGAGCCAGGCCAGCTCCATAATTTGCTGGGAACAAAATGAAAATACAGGAGTCCTTTTTCTAAAACAGGCCACAAAAGTCTTCCTTCTCACCCCTTTCTCCAGCTGGTGGTGTTTCTCAACCCGTTCAAGTTTTAATGTTCCTCTGCTTTGGGCATGTTTGCTAGGTACCCAGGACCTCATTATGCTAGTTTGGGTTTAGGCTGCCCACTGTAGGTAAAGGGTAGCAGCTTTCACTGGGAATGAATTAGGAAGCTAGTGGCTGAGAATCTGTGTGGGAAATGACAGAGGCAGTGGGAGGAGGGACCGTGCATAAGCTGAAGTCCCCGACCCTGAGTACTCCCTACTCTGTCTCACTGGACATCACTTACTAAATTCAGAATGTTACCGAGAACTGCATCGTGCCCTGAGTGCATTGAGCCTTTTGACCCTACACATCTGTGACGTCAGCCTTTGATCAGCAAGTGCAATCTTCAGTGACTTATTTCTCTGACCTTTCAGAACCCTGTACCTACGAAGGCCGTGTGTTTCAGGATGGGGCAGACTGGCCACTGAGTCGATGTGCCAGATGTGTGTGTAGAAATGGGGTCACCCAGTGCTTCACGGCTCAGTGTCAGCCTCTGTTTTGCAACCAGGTAAGAAAGACAGCCTCAGAGTGGGTCCTTCACAGACTGTTAGCTTCACTGTTCAGGAACTTGGAGCCTCTTCTGAGATTATGTCAGGCAAGCCGCGGCACTAGGAACAAGGAACAAAGCTGTTTTGTTTTCCTTATATTTGTGGAGACTACACTTGAGACTTTTTTTTTACACTTAGAAGTTACAGATAGGTCTAATTACCAGCCATTTAGGCTAATTGTTACATAATGAAACTGAGCCTTGAGGGTACAGCAAAGATGCTACCCGATCTAGTTGCAGATGTTCCCAAAATGTCAAGCTAAACATGTGGAAAATTCAGGTTTGTTATTGCTTTTTAATTCATAGTTATAGTCTGCTTTTTAAAAACACATGCATGTTTTTGAACATGATGATCCAGATGTACCCTACTGATTTTTATAAGAAAATGATTGAAATTAACAGAAGATTTTCTCTGGGGAGGTTTAAAATAGTGGGATCTTGTTTTCATTTAAAGCTGATTTGATTTTCAAAATATGGGCCTCTTCACACACATTTAGAAGAGAAAATCAATTGCGAATAGATACGGTATACATGACATTTGATTGTTATTTTATTCTTCCAGAGGCTGCTGTGACTGTTCCATGGCAATTGACAGATAAGAATAAAAAGAGTTTGCTTCATTCGAAAAATAGCCCATTTTTGATCTAAGGAAAAGCTGGAAGCAACGTTTAGTTGATACAGAGCAGTACTTTGTATCAAATAAACCAAAATCAGTAACATGGCATATTGTGACAGCTGGGTAATATATTAAAAAGCAGACAAAATGCAATTAGACATGAAATGCTAAATGGCAAATAATGGGAAAATGAATCTAATTGAAAGACTACACTGTATTATCACACTAGATCAACTACTGGCTCATGCCATATATACATATCTCCCAGTCCATCACAAAGTCTTGTCTTTGCTTTAAGATTGCAAGTGCATTTCTTAGTCAAGGTGCATGGTATCTGACACTTGAGAAGCTCTGTAGTACTAATGTATTTTGATTTCCTCACATCAGGGTTTAGTCCTTTGATATGTGGGATATAACACAGTTTGCCACTCAAATTTAAGAGAGGTGGGAGGAGGAATGGAGCAAATACTTCATTGTGAGTCTCTTCCTTTGATAAATCTTTAAAAACTTAACCACAGACTGTGTATTAGGGAGCTAAATTTAGAATAATCAAGAATACAAGCTCACGTTTAAAAGCATTAAATATAAACTCCGGCATCAAACGCAGTACTCCCCTAGAGTTTTCAGTGATAGAACCAATTAATTCAAAAAGATGAATTTGATACCATATTGCAGAACTAATTGATATGTAAGCATTCTGAAGTCTTAGAAATAGATTGATTTTAATCACTTTTACATCTTTACACCTATATTTTTATCATAACATTAAAAAAATACTACAGGTAATTCTAAAGCACAACTTTTCATGATTTAATATCACTATGAAGTATTGGATATTTGGTGATATAAATTGGGGTTATAGAATCAGTACTTCTGGTGGAAGCATTATGCCACCACTATCATGTTTGTGGAATTTAGTTTTAAATTACCATTGAATATTAAATATGATAGTGATGATTACTGTTTTTTTTTTTTCTTTCTTTCTCACCCTGCTTTTATTTTATTCACTCATTCATTTTTATTGAGGTAACAGGGTTTACATAATTGTTTGTGTACTTACAAATACAGGTACTCCCCACTCAGGCATTCTTTCCACATCACACCCCCAGCGACACCCACAGCCCACCCTAGTTTGTTGTGTTCCCTCCACACTCTTCCCCGTCCCTTGCTCTCTGGAGCCTTAATTCTTTAGTCAGCTTTAACGGGTCAGGTAAAGTCAAACTCAGAATGGTGATTAATTTTAAGAACCTTGTAATTTCATAACAACAATATGAAGTTGGGTTTTCATCTCCATTTTACAGTAGGTGAACTGAGGTGCAGAGTCTTAAGTAAATTGCTTAAGTACCACAATTTGGAAGTGACAGCACTTCTGACCTCAGTGGTTCTACTCACAGCCTCAGCAGACCTCACCTGACTCATGCTGGTCAATATAGCATAATGGGTAACCTCCCCAAATGATAATTGTATAGCATCCATGTATAATAATACTCGTAACAACACTGACTAACATTATTGAGCACAACTATAAATATACTATATGCTTTTAGTCAGGCCAGAGACACAGGGGTGGTGAGAGGATTCACCAGAGACAGTGAGGAGCAGAACAGGCAGATCGACAAAGTACACTGCTGAGGCAGCAGTGGGCAAGATAGGAGAGGTCTGCCGCGCCACGTGGATCACCTCCCTGGTGGGGGATTGAACTTGCACTGAAGAGGCCACAGTCAGCTTTGCTCCAACCCACTGTACCTCCAGGGAGGGCCCAACATCAGTTTTTTTAACACTACAACTTTTCATTCCTAATACTGACTACTCTGAATAGGCTGAACTTCATTTTGATATTTTTTCAAGAAAAGTAAATGATTCCTATCTTCTAAGCCATTATTTTCTTGTTGGCTATATAAAGAAAAGTAATCTGATAATTTAAAACAACTATCTGGAAGAGTCTAAAATTGGGGGTTGCTATAACTCTTCTCATTTCAAACCTATAGATTACTTTCCTTTGAATTCTGGAATTTAGTGCCATAGAGGAAAATTTTGAGACCTGTCTGTTTTCTATTCCTTTATATTCAGCTAGTTTCACTTTCTTGGACCTATGTAGATGTTTCCTTATCATTCATACATTTTTCGATGATAAAGGCTGTTTTTTCAGGCTATTTCTGAGTGAGCTGTCTTTTCCATATTTTACCTAAAATATTGTAAAGACCTGGCAGTTTTATTCATTTTTGAAATGCTCTCTTCATTTATAGCTTTGCTTAACCACATGTATTCCAGTTATTTTTGCTTTCTCCAGAGACATCTATGACCACTTCCCTTCTTTTCTTTCCCCACATTATCAATAATGTTCTCTCTGACAATTTTTCACTGTGTTTCCTCAGCATTGTGGAGAGAGCTTTCTGAGCTTGTATTTACTACCTCCAGTATTGATTTTAATTTGGTAATTTTGTTTTACTTTTAATTCTTCTTTGTATCTCCTATCATTGGTTTATCTGTTTTTAAGATTCTAATACTCTTCTCTCCTTATTGTTTCCTGTGTCTACTTAATAATGATTGCTGTTTCATTCATGTTACTGAAGTTGTAAAACCACTTCTCAATCTTTTTTTTTCAGCTCTTGTAGTACATAGTGTTCAGAAATTTGCTTTTCTTTTGACTCTTCAGAATGTTATTCCTTTCACTTGCTCTTCAGGGTTTGCTTCCAAGTTCCTTTCTTTCTTCTTACTCTTCCTTGATGAAGAGAAATTTGTCTGTATCTACTGCTTGAAAGCTGCAAGGGTAAGTGGCCTGCCCTTAAGTCATTCCCCTTCTTGGCTCCATGGCCAGATGCTAAGAAATGTCCATGTTTCCTCATCCAGAGTTTGGGCAGTATTTCGTTTAGTGTAATTCTATTTTACTAAGATCATATCTTTTTCCTTTCTCCACTACCCACTCTGCATACATTTTGAGTACTTGAAACACAAAATTATAAACCCCATTATATACTGCTGCAAGGGCTCTTTCCCTTTCTCTTGTGACTGTGTGCTTTTCATTTGAGGATTCCTCCTTTCTCCCTGTTTTTCATCCCCTCTTATACAACACATGCACTCCCCCACCCTTTTGTTTTTTCTACATTATGGACTTCAACTAAATACGGAAAGAAAGATAATGAGGAAGTGAAAGGTGAGGACTGATACTCAAGTGTCTCAAACAGCAGTGACTACACATTAGACGTTTGTCTATCTAGTTTGTTATCACAGGACCTTCCCAGGTGAAATTTTAAATATAGTCCCCCACCCTCATGTACAGAAGGCATGATGATACCAAGGAAAAGGCAGAACACTCCAGACTGTTAAGTGACAGTTTTAATAAACAAGGGATCTTACAAGACTTGTCTTGGGCAGCTGCACAAGTAGATCTCGGCATCTGCCTGCCAAATCTTTAATCTTAAGATATAAAGGCCTTAACTGGGGTTAGTCGCATATACCTCCCAGATGGTCTTGACAACACATTGCTATTTCAAGACTGTGTCATTGGAGCAGCTTCAAGTGTTGGAAAAGCAAGTGGGCTGCACATTCTCAGGACGGGGCGGAGGTGAGGAATCTCTGATTGCCTGGGTCTAGCTTGTGGATTAACTGGTAGTCACTTCTCCAGATGACCTCCTTTGACAGTTTTGTTTGATACAGGAAAGGAAGTGTTGGCTTTTAGTGCTATTTAAGTTTACACAGTAAAAGAAGGCCACAAAATGCCTTATGGTCAGTGGGATTCCTCTTGGCAGTGGTACAGGATGGCTGTTCTACTTTTGGGTGATAACTTTTTATTTCATTTTGTATTTTCAGAGGTGTTGGGAACATGTTTTGTCTGGAGCTGTTAGCCATAATACATTGTATTAAGTATTTTTATTTAAGGAATAGAGAAAAGCATAATTAAAGACATCCTTAACAGTGGTCCTATCCACAATTGTAATGACATTAATCATATATATGATATTTACTGAACTGTGAATACCAAGGGTGCCATATATAGCCAGAGATTGACCACCTTTTCCTATAAAAAGCCTGATGGTGGCCCTCCCTGGTGGCGCAGCGGGTTAAAGCACAGCACTGAGAATCTAAAGCCACTTCCGCATGAGTTCAATTCCCGCCTGCTCTGGAGATGACCACATGGCGTGGCAGACCTCTCCTGACCCACCCGCTGCTCCCCTCAGCAGTGTACTTCGTCAGTCTGCCTGTTCTGTTCCCCACTCTGTCTCTGGTGAAGCCTCTCGCCTCCCCTGAGCTTCTGGCCTGTACCCCAGTTCTGTATGTACAAATAAATAAATCTTTAAAAAAAAAAAAAAAAGCCTGATGGTGACTATTTTCAACGTTGTGTCATGCAATTGGAACAACTCCTCAACTCTGCCAGGGTACCATAAAATCAGCCATTAATAATAGGTAAATGAGTGAATATAGTTGTGTTTCAATGAACCATTATAAAAAAGTCCAGTGGGCCAGGTTTGGTCTGTGGTCCACAGTGTGCCGGCCCCATTTAGGTTACACCTTTGGGAGGGCAAATCCATATAGTCAGGAATGATAGGGTTCAGGTGCGTGATAGCAACAGTGTAAGGGACAGCACTGCTGTGTCTTCTCCATTTCTCTGACCCACCTCTCTGCTCTCCTTCTTACTTGCCTCTCCATTTTCACTTATAAAGCAACCAGCACAGATAAGATCTTAGCTCTCCATCATGCAGTTCTCTCAAACTTTGTATGTTTTCTCTGTAAGTTTTTTCCTGTCGCTTTCGTTAATTCTGTATTTGTGAAGAAAGATTCTGTTCTGTGGATATAACATATAATTAGGTATTGCAATTGGAATGGGAAAACTTATTTTTTCTTGTACTTATCTCTGTACTGTGAATTACCCTTTTTCACGTGCCCTCAAGTTGACTCTGCTCCTATACCTTATCTAGTTTCTGTTGGTTAACATAGACTGAGTGTAACTCTACTTCTGTTCAAAATTTGTGATCATGACACTTGTTCCTTCTTTTCCTAAGGTTGTGTAAGTCTTAGTACAGTTGTCTACTACAATAAAATTACTGAATAGTGTGCATCAGGTACAAACCTTTATATTACTTTCTCATTGAAATTTCATTAAGCTGAAGAGCTCTGAGATCAAAAAATGTTGAGTGTTTATAATGGATGTCCAATTTTCCCCTACTCCATTAAACAACAATGGTCATAGTATTTTACATAAAGACTAATGAAGAAATAAAATGACCTAGGTGGAGAGAAGAGCTGTCAGTAATAAATTCCAGTCATTCGGGTGTTTGAAATAAATCTCTCTTAGGCAGTAAAGCATTAATTTAACTGATCATATATAGTTGGGTTAAAAAACTAGTGAATTATGTCTGGAATTTTCTTTAAAAGAGTAAGATTATTTGACTGCTGTTCCCCTGCTCTCTGGAGTACATTGGCCTTTTTCTTACAAATGAATACCAGAATAACCGTGATAATAAATCTCATTTTCTACTTCTTTAAAAGAAAGTGAAGATAAATATTTGGAAGAATTTTCTGTATAATATAGCTCTTCTTGGTCATTATAACTTGGTTTGTTCTAACCCTTGTCCCCTTGCCTTATGATATGTCTATCTTACTGCCCTTCATGAAGGCTGCAATGATAAGTCAAAGTGAGAAGCTGCCTCTTTAGCATTAATGAGGGCACTGTACTGTGAAAGTTCTTAGGGCAACAGAGACAAATGATCTGATATTCTGGGGGAGAGGAGGAGTAGAAAAGGTGAGACTGTAGAGATCGGGTTGTGTATGTAGGGGGAGATCTTTTAATATTTAGTCTCTGCTATCCACTTTTCTATGTACTGGTTTATTCCCAGATAACTAGAGGCATGAATGATTTTTTTTCATGTGAAGTTCCTCACCAAAGCATATATATAGATATATGGATTCACATCAAGATGCAGAAGTATAGTGAAGCATTTATCAAGGGAAGTATACTTTCTCTTGAGTTTAATGGTAACTCAGCAGGAATATAAATGCTCTGTAGTATTGTAGTTGGTGTTCTAAAGTCTGACCGCCAACCATTTACTGTTATATTACCAGGTCAGCTCTGCGACCTTAGGCAAGTCACACAATCTTTCTGTTTTTCCTCCTTATTTGTAAAGCAGGGATAAGAACATTCACTTTAAGGGACATTAAAAAGCACTTTAAAGAGCAGTTGCAAACATTAAGTTACTTTTCCTATCGTTATCTGTGCTTTTGTGGTCACATGTAAGAATCACATTGACCATGGTCATACTAATCCAAGTTCATATCACAGCACTAGGTCACTAGTAGATACTAAATGAGAGAAAATCACTGTTTGTAGATACTTGAGGTACACGATTGCCTTGGCTGTGGAGAACTTTTCCTGCTGTTATGGATTTTGATGTTTTGTTTCCTTTATTGGGTACTAAGGATGAAGCTGTTGTCCGAGTCCCTGGAAAATGCTGCCCACAGTGCTCTTCACGATCCTGCTCTGCCGCTGGCCAAGTGTACGAGGTAACCTTTGCTATATCCCGTGTAGGTGTTTTGACATACATTCTCACACTTCTGCCCTCGCCTTGCCAACCACTGTACCTCCTCACCCTCACATCTGACTTTTTGCCAGGATTAGTAACTCAGTACATAAACGGCTTTTTTCTTCTTAAGGAAAGTCTTTTTGAAAAAAATTAAATCAAAGGGGATTAGAAACATAAAGGAATGTACTGGCAAGTAGCACCTGGTTCATGAACCTTGGTGAACTTACTGTGTATACATTTTGAAGGGAAAACAACTGTTATTGCTTACTATCAGCTTACTTAGGTTGGAGGTACTGAAAATATCTGTGTAGCTTTGGATGGATTTGTGCACTGATAACCAGATACATTATCTCCCCACTTTGCCCTGGGGGGAGTTACGGGATAATGTGGGAGAGAGGGAAAGGAAGTGAGAAGCTGGTGGTAGTGGCACCTGCAAACATGGAGGTACAATTGGGGAAATCTAGATCCCTAACATATAGGAGCATCAAATAAAAGTGAGTTCAACAAAGTGAATCCATAAATAAATGTTATCTTAGAAGTCCCTAGCTGAACAGTTTATGTTAATTCAAAATCAAACAACATACAAAAACAAGCTCAATACTTTCCTTGCTTGCCAGCCACTCTAAGGAAGTCTAAATAGACAGTGGGGTATGAGTCTCAGTAGAGGATCTAGAACTGAGTATGAAGGGATGGTATCATGAATTTTATTTAGACAGATCACTTGAAATTGCAATGAATAAATTTGAATGGAATAACTAATTGGAATAACTAATAGAATAACTAATGGAATAACTAATACTCTTGTTTGTCCATCAGGTCCCTGAATAAGGTTGGTCCATTCAACATCATTTCATTATAATGTTAATGATAAAATGAAATCTTAGCCCATTGAAATATTGAACTAAACAATATGACCTGTTTCCTTTATGTGGTATTTCATTTGAAGTCACAATTTCCAGGAACCTATTGAAAAGGTTAAATGAGGACTTACTGTACTCATTTGTAGTCCCATGTAGTAGCCATTTATGTGCTAGATTAATTTCTCATAGAATGGAGAGCCTCTGGAACTGTCTGGCATTTGGGCTGTAAGTAACAGAAATTCCCTAAAAGCTCAAGTGAAAACATTCATTATATCATAGGAAAAAAATACAGTGTAAGGGCATTTGTAGTGTTGAACAATTCAATGATATTTCAAGGATCTAAGTTTCCTACCCATCATCCTCAGCATATTGGAATTTGCTTTCTGTCTTATGCCCCTATGTTCCCCATATGGTCAGCTCCAGGCATCTGAACTTCACAGAGTCACTCCATACAAATAGCAGGTGGAAGGAAGGGGAGACTTTTCTTTGGACTACCACCACTCAAGCAAACTACTCCTAAGATCCCGTGGGTTAGGACTAGCACAGTGTCTGTGTCCTGGCATGGGAAACCAGGAAAGTAAGGGACAGTAAGAGCCACATACTTTTTTTGGAGAAGAAACGCTAAAGAATCACCACTGACTGGCCATGATCATATTTCTCAGGAATACCTTCAGTTTGGTCAAGAGTTATAATAGAGCCCTCCCTGGTGATGCAGCACGTTAACGCACAGCATAATGAAGCCATCTGTAGCCACTGCAGCATGAGTTTAATCCCCAGCCAGGGAAGTGACTCACATGGTGCAGCAACCTCTCCTGTCTCTCCCGCTTCTCCTCTCAGAAGTGTATTTCAGTCAATCTGCCTGTTCTGCTCCCCACTCTGTCTCTGGTGAATCCCCTCATCCTCTCACACCTCTGAACTGTTCTCCAGTTCTTGTATGCATGAGTAAATGAATCTTAAAAAAACAGTTGTAGTAAAAATTGGTGTGTTTTACAAGCCATTATTACTATTTTATGTATGCAACATTTGATTTTCTACTTTCACTTTGCTTTGCTTTCCTCAGCATGGTGAGCAGTGGAGTGAAAATGCCTGCACCACTTGTTTATGTGACCGAGGGGAGGTCAGGTGCCACCAGCAGTCCTGCCCGCCACTAAGATGTGGAAAGGTACAGCAATTCCTGAAATAATGTGTTGGTCAACAAAGATTCCTGGCTCGAGTCATTGTCTATGCAGAGTTTGCATGTTTTCCCCATGTCTACATGGTCCTCTTTTTGGCCCCACAGTGAACAGATATATTGGTGTGTCTCAGTTGTCCCAGTCAGATTTTGTATGTGTGTGTGTGTGTACTTGTCCAGAGTAGGTGCCCACCTTGTGCCCTGAGCTGCTGGCATAGGTTCCAGCCACCTGTGATTGGATTAATCTGATTGGAAAATGAATGAATGAATCAATGAATAAAGTTAAAAAGTTAGAAGGTTTTGGCATCTTTGGTGATGTTTTGTGAGCATAGTGGTGCAATAGGAATTTAACTTTTTAATGTCAATTAGCCTATGATCAAATTGGCTTTATTTGATATCGTTTTGTGTAAAGGTGCAAGAACCTGTTGATGTCATTAGGTGAGGACTTAATATATTTGAGAGTGTGAAGAAAATGCTCTTCTGGCCCTCCCTGGTGGTGCAGCGGGGTAAAGCTCAGCCCTGCAATTGAGCTGCAGCCACTTCAGTGTGTGTTAGACCCCCGCCCCAGAGGTGACCACATGGCACAACAGATCTCTGTTGACCCATCCACTGCTCCCCTCATCGGTGTACTTGGTCGATCTGCCAGTTCTGCTCCCCACTCTGTCTCTGGTTAAGGCTCTCACTGCCCCTGAGCCTCTACCCTGTACCTCAGTTCTGTATGCATAAATAAATCTTTAAAAAAAATGCACTTCTTAGTCCAGTATGTCCTTTAGGGGAAGCAAAAGTTTTATGTCGTTCAGTGTATTTGATCAAGATGTGATAGATTTGATTCCTAGGAAGTAGGTTGAGGGAACTTAACCTCAGCCAGGTTAGGTAGGGAAGAGAAGCAGTGTGGTGTTGGCATTTGTGTCCATCTGGCCCTTTTGCTCAGAGGTTTTCTTGCTCTCCAGATGCTCCCTTTACCCACCATTCTGTCCGTGTCATCAGGGTCAAAGGCCGGCTAAGCGTCACGGGGAATGCTGTGAGGAATGCGTGTCTCCTGCTGGAAGCTGCTCATACCATGGGATTGTGCGGTATCAGGACGAAATGTGGAAGAGCTCGGCCTGTGAATTCTGCATGTGTAACCTTGGCCAAGTGACCTGCTGGCCTGGAGAGTGTGCCAAAGTGGAGTGTGCCAGGGTAAGAGGCATAGAAGGCATTTCCAGTTGGATTATCACAGGTTTCTCCAATGCGATAAGTGGCCCCTCACTTACTTCTTGGCAGCAAAGGGATAGCCATGTTGATTTCTCACATTTCAAGGAACTTTCTAGCATAAGGATTCTGGTAGAAAGTAAACATCAATATTTTGTTGAAACTGGCTTGGAACAGCCACCTCGAACTTTTTTATTCTTGGTGCATCTGGTCAGATCAGAAGCCCTGAGCCAGAGGCAAGAAATGGGGAGACATGATATGGGACATTTGCTTATCAGTCGTTGCAGCTGAACCAAATTGCTTGTGGCCTGCCCAACTCACTGTGACTGTGATACAGAGGCAGCAGGTGCTCCAGCGGCCTGGCTCCCATTTCAGGCCCACTGGCAGTTTGACAGAAAAGTGGTCATTCCTGTGGAGTAGGGAAGAAAATAAAATGTATTTTGTTTTTGTTTTAATGAGGGGGTGTGGGGGTGGCCCTCCCTGGTGGCACAATGGGTTAGGACACAGCACTGCAAGCTAGCCACAGCTGCTTCAGTGCAAGTTCAATCTCTGGCCCCAGAGCTGACCCACATGGCACAGCAGACTTCTCCTGACCCCCCCGCTGCTTCTCTCAGCAGTGTACTTAGTCGATCCGCCTGTTCTGCTCCCCACTATCCCTGGTGAAGCCTCTCACTGCCCTGCACCTCTGGCTTGTACCCCAATTCTGTATGACTAAATAAATAAATCTTTAAGGGGGGGGAGAGAGAGAGAAAAAAAGAAAGAGAGAGAGGGGCCCTCATAAATAATTAACTTTTTTGACCTCTTTTGACTTCTGCTGTTTGCAGAATTCAGAAGAATTTCTAGAAGCTTCTAACAAAACAGCTCCTGTTTGGATTAGAGAAGCATAATGTAGGAATATTGCTTTTTTTCCCTCTTTGAACTCAGTTTTGACCCACTGAAAAACAAATTGCTTTTAAAGTTGTCTCCCTCACCACTCCCATCCGCCCAGCCAGTTTCCCGGAGGGTTGTAAACTTGAGTAGATGAGGGAAATGAGGGAGAACTGAAGTTGTGGGTGTCTGTGAAGGCATTTTTCTTTCTAGTTCTTCTCCCCCGCATCTCAGCTTCTCTTAACTTGAGCCTAAGGAGGAACAGTCTTTCAAGTAAAGCTGTCAGTGACTGGAGTCTTTTTGATTTTGCCTCCTACTTTTAAGTCTTGGCAAACCTGAGGCATATTAGGTAAAGAGGGTCTTTCTTCTTGAAGACTCATTTCCCCTCCCATACACCTTTTTTATTTCTTTGCTATCTTTATATGGGGGAGTCAGAATGGTTAGATGTAGATGAGGAAAGCCTTACCTGCCCCCTCTCAGGCTGAGGTTGGGCTTCCTTACCGTGGCAATCTGTCCAGAGGATACTGGGTTAGTTTTCTAGGTTCTTATTTGTCTAATATCCCAAGGTTTTTGGAAAATGTGGGAGAGGTGGTCCTTGTAGTTTGGACCTTATGTTCAGCCAGGTCTGAAAAGAGAGTCTCTCCCACAGAAAACATTTGTACCCATTATCTCCAGTGTTAATGCATTTCCTCATGACGCCTGCCTCATGACGCCTGCCTGTCCTCATGACTTCCTTGTTCTTAGGAAGAGAGGGGAGTAACTGTTGAAGTTGGTGCTGAGTGCCTAAGTATTTGTTAAGTCTTCCCTTAGCATTATCTCTTCCCTTTCACTTCCACTTCCCACTCCCATCCCATCTTCTCTTTAATGAATTGAGGGGTTCTAATCCCGTTAGCCTATTTCTCCAGATCTTTATCAACTAAATTTCTTCCTTGCAGAGTATCTCTATTTCCCAGTTTTTATTTAAGGCACTGGATTCTAAACTGGAACCATACTAGAAGTGGAATTTTAACCAAAATGGAGGCTTGCAAAAGATACCCCTTATCCATTTTTCTCTGCCATACTGATGTGAATAACACCAGTGATTATGGAGTTATGAATTAAGTACATTAGGAGCATCTGGACAGAGTGATTAGTCCTGCCAACGAGAACAGGGAAAGTATTCTACTGGTATTTTTAACTCCTCTTTCCCACTTTCTGCCTTGTCTAAAATATCAATATTATTTGATTTCTAACCTTGGATTCCAGGAGTGTACTAAGATGCAGAAAAGTAAACTTCTAGAAGAAGTGAAATTACTCAGTTTTACCACTGTAATTATTACAATGCCTAGATAGTACTGAAACCAGCACCGAATTTTTCTCTGTTAAAAAAAAAAATGTGGGCCCTCCCTTGTGGCGCAGCCAGTTAAAGCACTGCACTAAGAAGATTAAGCCACTTCCTCATGAGTTCGATCCCTGCCTGCCCTGGAGGAGATCCACGTGGCCTGGCAGACCTCTCCTGACCCGCCCACTGCTCCCCAAAGCGGTGTACTTCATTGATGGGCCTGTTCTGCTCCCCACTCTGTCTCTGGTGAAGACTCTCACCCTCCGCATCTCTGGCCTGTATACCCCAGCTCTGTATGAATAAATAAATAAATCTTAAAAAATATATTAAAAAAAAGTGAAAGTGAAAATGGCACACTTGTCTTTGGGCTACCAAACCAAATCTTTAGATGTTGAAATAAATGTCAACAAAAGACTTAGACAATAGAATGATTTCCATGTTTCTATATTTTGTTATCTTTAACATGAATTCAGATGAGCAAGTCAAATTACCTTTTTTCTCTCCCCCCCCCCCCCCCCCCGTAAAAAGGGATATATGAGGCATGTAATTGAAGCTTATAGCCAAGTGTATGGAAAGGGTAAATCTGCATCTATATGAGATGTCTTTCCTGCCTCCAGTAAAGGAAAATTCCTTCAAGAATCTGTTTCCTTAACCTTTTGTTTGGTTCCTATGGGCAGATTAGGTGGATCACATGGTTTTTCCACTGGTGACGGATATGGATGTGATTTAATGGGAAGAGGTTAGCAGATTCCATCTGGCCAATATAGCAGAATCCTCTTAAAAAGAAAAGAATTCATTTTGTTTCACAAAGCAATTTTTCTCAAAGCAAAAATCAAATGCTAATTGGAGCAAGCTCCCCACTGCAGTGAGTGACGCAATTTGGATCATCCAGACTTCTATAAATAGCAAATCTATTTAGAACTTCCGACTTCACCCAAACTGAATCCTTGTTCCCAAGAGCAGGCCCGGCTGTTATTTACAGTGGCATTTGGAGACTCAGAACGGGCACCTTCTTTGCCTTATCTGGGTGATGCAGACTTCATTTTCAGGTTTGTCTGGATATATTGTGGAGGGCACTCAAGAATTACTTTTGCATTTTGTTTTAATACAAGTAGGTAAACTCCCCTCATTCCAAGACATTGTTTTAAGTGACTTAGATTACATGTGTATAAACCTTTTTATATGATTGAAAGCACATTCACTATGTTTCTGGATTATGTTTTCACTACCAGCTGATTTGTCAGGTTTCTGCAAAACAATTTATATGTAAATACATCTGTTCTCCATAGCACCAACTGCTCTCTGTTGGCCTCCGATTGGCATTAAATTTTGATGGACAGTGATCTATGTAACTCCCTTCTTTTTAAAGTAACCTTTTAGACACCATAATAGGTTACCATCATTCATGTGTTTTGGGGTTTATTTTAAAAGTTTCTTTTCCCTTTATTAAAATCATACATACTCATTTTAGAAAATTGAAGACTAGAGAAAAATAAAAAAAGAGACTTTAAAATCCATCCGTAATGCTACAACTCAAAGACAGCTGATGCTTTTATTTTCTGTTTTTCTTTAGTGCATGGTGTTTTTGAACATAAAATATCATTGTGATTATTCTGCTTATGCAGAATTTTGCATTATTCAGTTTTTACCTAACATGGCTTCTATACTTTAAGTGTAATAAAGACTCCAAATTAAATAATGTCTTCATTTAAAGAAACACTACCATTCTTTTTAGAAAGTATAAAGTGCTTTAGCCTATGGATATTAGATGTTAATATATGCATATGAAAATTTGTCAACAGAGATGCATTTTTAACGGCAGAGTCCCTGGGAGATAGCACTGCAATAGAATAAAATTCAGAATTCTATCTCTTTTAATAGTAAGCATTTGTTATTTTTGTAATAAAAAATAGAAAAATTGAAATTATTAAAATTACAAGCCTTTGAAAGGTAAACATTTACTTTCCCAGTATGACATTTCTTTCCTTTCTCTTCAATTTTTTAAAATTGTGATTATGTGAATTGGATAAATTTCAGAATATTTAAAAGAAGTTGGGTTTCTACTGTTTAATTTATGCCTGTTCATAAAGGGATATGTCTGATTTTGTATTCAAGGAAAAACATTGGTTTGATTTGAAGACTATTAACAAAACCAGATCACAAGTTCAAATCTTGTGTTTTTAAAAAGCTTGATCCTTTCCTAAAACTTATCACTTTGTAAGCACTGTCAATCTTTATTCATTTGAGCTCCTGGTCATGGAAAGGAATTGCTGGGAGGATCAGTGCACAAGGATAGCCAGAGCTGGAAAGAAAAAGCACTTGGGCCATGGGAAAATGTCACCTGGGGAGATAAATAAGTGGTGGGCAAAGCAAAGGGGTGGGCTCAAGTCTGTATTCCAGTCAGGGAATCTAGCTGTTTCACAATTTAATGCTGCTACCTGAAGATGTTAACCTGATTTGTGCCACTACAACTCTTCTGCAGGATGAAGAATTAATTCACGTAGATGGAAAATGCTGTCCTGAATGCATTTCAAGGAAGGGGTATTGTGTTTATGAAGAAAATGAAAAATTTGTGAGTATTGGGCCAATCATTAGAGTTAATAATTCAGTTAATTTAGTGAGAAAGTATTACCTTTTCATTTCTTTCACCACTTTATGTGTTCAGTTGATGGGATCATGTACCCAGACCAGAAGTGAACACAGCACACAGAGCCCTGTCTCCTGGAGCTTACCTTCTAGTGTGGGTACACAGAGGGCTAATAAGTGCATGTGTCATGTGGTAACAAGTACTGTCTAGAGAAAGAAGCAGTTGAAGGGAATTTGGGGAGATCCCTCACTAGAGAAGTTTGAGTTAAACTCAAAGGAAGTGAGGGACCACGTCTTGTGGATATGTGGATGAATGAGCAGGCAGTAGGAATGGGAGGACTCGAGGAAGGGGGATCAGCAACGGGAAGAAGCACTGAGGTAGGACTGTACTTGGCATATTCAGGAAAATATAGGAAGTGACTATGGCTGGAACCAAATGCATGAGGTAGAAAGGAATTGGAGGATGAAGTCTAGTGGGCAGCTTGAAAGCCATTTTACCCTGAGGAGGATGGGAGTGCTAGGGATCTTTGAGCAGTGAGATGCTGTGGTCTTGTGAAAGGACCCTCTTTGCTGCTGGGTATGCCAGTGACATAAGGGGACAAAATTAGAAGTAGGTAGACTGGTTGGAAGGGTTTTGGCCATGGTTGAGAGAAAGGGTAATGGTGGCTTTTTCTCGGGAGGAAATGATGTAAGGAGATTAAGCTGTAGATTTACTTTGCAATAAATCCCTTTGAAAGGATTTTGATGGGTTGTATGTGGGGTGAAGCACCATTTGCTAAGGTTTTATTTCTCTCTCTCTCTCTATATATATATTATATATATATATATATATATATACATATATATCTGTATGTATGTATGTACTTATGTATATATACCTACACTATATATTTTGTTAATTTTCCAGAGGAAAAAATTTATCTTAATCTCTTCAAATTTAAAGACATTGGACCATATTTTCACATGAGGTTTGGAATGTTGCTAAGCTCTTTGTGTTCTCAAAAACATGACGAGTGGTCATCAAGGCAATTGCTTCATTGAGCATTCACAACAAGATTATAGGGACTGAGATTAAGTACTATGGTTTGTGAATTAATTTCTAGATTTCCCTTGTGATTTAGGAAAATCATATCTGTCAGCCTGCCAATGTTCTTTACATGCTGGGGAGGGTTCATTGTGCAGGGTCTAGATCTGAGTCCCTGTTTTAACACATTACTAACTATGATCTTGGGCAAGTTACTTAATACTCAACTGTATTTACCTTGTGGGGCTATTGAGATAGTGCCTATAAAGTACTTAGAATAATGCCACCCATGTAAAACAAAGAAAAAGAGAAATTATAATATAGCATTATTATTATTATGCTGTTGATATTGTTTGTTTCATAGTGGTATTTAATAGTTAGTCATTCTTAAGAATGTAGGATATTAAAGATTTGCTATAAATAATTGAATTTGTATTTTCTGAATCATAATATAATTTTCCTGCCCAGCTTTTATAAATTAAACCTAGTGGGATTAAAGAAAAGCAAGTCTTAATTTAAATAAGTACAATCTCCAGTGTGCTGTGGTAACATACAAAATTCAGAAATTTGCCTTCACAAGCCTAGATACCTTGACTGTGAAGTTTATCATACTGAGGGGAACTGAAGCCAAACACTCAAGCATAGAGTGAAATGAGAATTCAAAAATACTTCCTAGGCATATTGTTCCTACCCCTTACTGGTATGTTTTTCTAATTTTTGAGAGAGATAGATTTTATTTCTATTCATAATAAATGAATGAAGTTGCCTGCAATTTAGGGAAAAATGGATAAATTCTAATGTAAAAAATAAGTAGATCAGAGTAATGATGTTTTTTGGGGTGTGATAAATACGTTTCTCTTTGTTCCTAGATTTCCTCAAATGTGAGTGAAGTTAAACGTATCCCAGTAAGTATAGATTTTCAACTTGTTCATAGATATTTATAGAATTATTTTAAGCAATGATTTATATACACTGTCCTGGGAATCTTAATGTCAGCATTTTTTTAAAAAAGATTTATTCACTTTGCATACAGAGCTGGGGTACAGGCTAGAGGTGCAGGGGTGATGAGAGGATTCACCAGACACAGTGGGGAGCAGAACAGGCCAACTGACAAAGTACACAGCTGAGGGGAGCAGCAGGCTGGTTAGGAGAGGTCTGCCGCACCATGTGGTCACCTCTGGGGCAGGAATCAAACTCATGCTGAAGTGGCTTTAGCTTCTTAGTGCTGTGCTTTAATCTTCTGCACCACCAGGGAGGGCCCAATGTCAGCATTTTTTGAAACTTAATTAAACATTTTAAAAGTAAAGTAGCATTGGTTAATGATACATATAGCATGTAGGTGGACAGTTTTCTAAATCAGCATCTGTATATATTCCCTTATGCTCACAGTCAAGTCTAAGTTCCACTTGTCACCACATAACTGACCCCCTTTTTATCTGATTTGCTCACCCTCTTCCCTTTTGCTAACCAGTCATGCTTGATGGCGAGTGGGATAGGATTAAGAATTGTAAAGATAACTAAAACTTTGACCCATTAAATTTTTGTTTCTTCTTAAGTTTATTTTCCCCATGATTTATAATGAATACTTCTGCAAGGACAAGTTCCAACACCCCTTTCTTGTGATGATTTTCTCCTCCTGATTTTTTTTCTGGCCTAGAAATCTCAGTTTAACTGGCAGTTGCATGTCTTGCCAAACAACAAACAATGACCCTTTTGGGTCTGGAGAGTTTGTTACCCAAGCAAAACTGAGTGTTCATTCTCTCTAGGCAGTTTGCAGAACAACATCCTATGGTTTGTCCTTAATGGAAAATACAAGCATGTTTCTTCACATAAGTAAGCTTACAATTTTAGTCTTTATAGAATGAGGGGATGAAAGGCTTCTTTACCTTGAAATGAAAGAAAGGCATGTCTGTTGTCAAGATGATATTTCTCATTTTTCCAACATGGTCATTCATAGCTGCTAAATACTATCACTTTATTTGTAATATTCAGTATCAGTTGACTTCATAGATATATTTTTAAATATGCTCTTATATGCTCTCATGTTTTACCCCTTCATTATTCCAGAACATTCTGTTAGTAACCTTTGCCTCTTACCTATCCTAGGGGTTGCCTGGAATAGGGAGCAAAAATAAATTGCTCTTTATAATTCTTGGATTGTCTGTCAAAGTAATTTGCTTGGCTGAAAAGAATATTTAGTATGAGAAATCCCATGGCACATCTACAGTCCACTAAAATTGGGCATGCAAAAGAATTTTAAGAATACAATGACTCTTCTGTTATTCTGACTATAGTAAACATAAGAAAATTCAAAGCTTTAGCCAGCTTCCCACTGTTATTATAAAGACTATAATTCCTGCTAATCACTAGGTGCAGGGTTATCCCCTCTGGTGTTTTTGGTGAAATATTGTGAGAAACAAGTGTTATACGTTTCTTGCTTATACTGGTAGCTTTAGAATGTGTTCACAGTTTATCTTTCTGCCTTTATTCTACATTAAAATCAAACAATTATAAACAAAAAAAAGGAGAAAAACGGTGCTTTAAAAATCAGGACATTTCTGTAACTGTTCTGTATCAGGAGTTGGTCTGATGTGGTACTGACAAGGCGCCTTTATTTTTGTCCTTTGTGGACATTTTAAGTTTTCCACCAGCAAACTGTCTTTTGATTACTGCACTCCAATAATGATGCCGTTCTTTACTGTTGCCCATAGGAGGGAGACACATGGGAAGATGGCCCTTGCAAGATGTGTGAGTGCCAAGGGGCTCAGGTGACTTGCTATGAGCCCTCTTGTCCACTGTGCCCAATGGCCACTCTGGCTCAGGTGGTGAAAGGACTGTGCTGCCCGGATTGTACATCAGGTGGGTCCTTGTCCAATTTATGTCTACTGGCATATTTTTACTACCCCAAATTCCATAGATCCTTTCCCTACCTTTGCTTTCTTTTCTTTCTTTTTTAAAAAATATTTATTTATTTATGCATACAGAATTATGCATACATGCCAGAGGTGCAGGGGTGGTGAGAGGTTTCACCAGAGACAGACTGGAGAGCAGAACAGGTAGATGGATGAAGTAGCTGCTGAGGGGAACAGGGAGAGAGACAGGAGAGGTCTGCCACGCCATGTGAGTCACCTCCAGGGCAGGGATCGAACTCACACTGAGGCGGCTGTGGCTGGCTTGCAGTGCTGCATCCTAGCCCATTGTGCCACCAGGGAAGGCCCTCTTTTCTTTCTTTTTTTAAGATTTATTTCTGGGAAACTGTTTTTTTTTTTAAATTTAAGATTTATTTATTTGTTCATACAGAACTGGGGTATAGCCAGAGGTGCAGGGCGGTGAGAGGCCTCACCAGAGACAGATTGGGGAGCAGAACAGGCAGATTAATGAAGTACACTGCTGAGGGGAGCAGTGGGCGAGTCAAAATAGGTCTGCTGTGCCTTGTGGATCCTCCGGGGCTGGGGATCAAACTTGCACTAAAGCGGCTGCTGCTAACTTGCAGTGCTGTGTCCTAACCCATTGTGCCACCAGGGAGAGCCTTAAGATTTATTTTTATTTATTCCTGCAAGAATTGGGTTATAGGCCAGAGTACAGGGGGTGAGAGGATTCACTAGAGAGCGTGGGGAGCAGAAGAGGCAGATCTACTGAATTTCACTGCTGAGGGGAGCAGCAGGTGAGACAGGAGAGGTCTGCTGCGCCATGTTGGTCACCTCCCAGGCTGGGGATTAAACTCCGACTTCAGTGGCTGGCAACAACTTTTAATAGCTCTGACTGTAACCCCTGTGCCACCAGGGAGACCATCTCCCCCAACCTTTTCTTTAGTCACCCTCTGGGTTGGTTTCTTTGCTTATTCCTGGTTTTATAACAAATGATGCTAATTAATTCTTGTCCATAGGGTTACCAAGCTGACTGATTATGAGTACATGCCCTTAGGCAAGTTATTGACACTCCCTGAACTTTAATTTTCTTGTTAAAAAATGTGCCTTATCTACCTTGGAACATAGCTATAAAAATCAAATAGCATTTATTGTTTCTAGTTTTTTAAATATGAGCCATTTTCACAGGTGTAAGGTGATAGCTCATTGTGGTCTTGGTTTGCAATTCCCTGAGAAGTAAGACTGAACAAAATTTTTTTTAAAGATTTATTTATTTATGCATACAGAGCTGGGGTACAGGTCAGAGGTGCAGGGGTGGTGAGAGGATTCACCAGACACAGAGTAGGGAGCAGAACAGGCCGACTGATGAAGTACACTGCTGAGAGGAGCAGTGGGCGGGTCAGGAGAGGTCTGCTGTGCCATGTGGGTCACCTCCAATGTGGGGATCAAACTTATATGCTAAAGTGGTTTTTAGCTTCTTAGTGCTGTGCTTGAACCCGTTGCACCACCAGGGAGGGCCCTGAACAATTTTTTTATATGCCGGCTGGCCATCTGCATTTCTTCTTTGGAGATAAATAATGGTTTCTCCATTCTTAAAAATATAAAAACAATTACTGAGAATTTGTCATGATGTCCATTTTTTAAGGTGAACTTTTAAACAGATGGCTCCTTTTGGAGTTCTCAAATGGTTTTTTGAAGTTTAAATACTCATTAATTTCTTCTAAAAGAAAATTTTATCTACATGTTCTGCAACTGTGCTTTCAAATCACCTGGGGTTGAATTAGTTCCAGTTAATAATTGTTGGCACACACTGGAGCTACTCTAGCTGAGCAGTAATTTGCCTGTAAGCATAGTCTCACTTGAAGAAGTGGCATTTTTTTTCCATTCATATTTCATAATTAATTGTTTTCATCCGTGGGTCACATTTTCCATACTGGCAGTTGCTCTTGTTGCACTCAACTTATTTTGACTAATCACAGTCGTTCTGCAAAGACTTTATCCTGGGAAAAGCAAAGCAAGTTTATGGTTTCATTTTGTTACCATCTCTAAAGTGGCCTCCCAGGACTTTCCAAACAAATATTTAGCATATTATTCTACTCTAGACCTTGAAAATTACATCCTTGATAACTTCAAAACCTGAAAGATGTGTTCGGCTGACAATAACCATTACGTTATTGACAATTCCAGTTATGGGGAATGAAATTTGGAATTTCAGAGAAAACGAAAAAAAATCAGACTTTTTAAAATAGTATTTTTAAAAATTGAAGGTGACATATTTTAATTTTTTATGCATACAAAGCTCAAAAAAAATCTGAGAAATCCCAAAGTATTGTATACTTTTGTTTCAGTCATTTTTTATGGAGCTAGTCATTCTTGCTTCTTGAAACATTCAAGCAGGGGGAAGAACTAATATTAGGTCAAAGCAAAAGCAGGAACATTTTGGTAATATTTTTAGCATCTTCAATTTGGGATTACCAGAGACAGTGATAGTACTTCACCCAAGGAGAAGTTCTTTGAAATCTTGCACTAAAACTATTTTTTGCTGTTTGGAGGCCTTTTCCATATTTTTGTTCTTTACATCCTGAATAGTTCCTTATAGCCCATAGATTATATTTTGAAGGATGTGAAATAAATCATATGATCTTTCCTGAGTTCTCTTTGTCCTTGATTGTAGTTCATTGCCACCCAGACTGCTTGACCTGCTCTCAGTCTCCAAACCACTGTGACCTTTGCCAGGACCCCACAAAGTTGCTGTGGAATGGACGGTGTGTGCACAGCTGTGGTCTGGGATCTTACCAAGCTGGAACTGTCTGCTTAGGTATGGCTCCATGAATATTCCAGAGGTGAACCAACGCTCACTCTTGTCAAGGAAAGGGTTATGATGCAGGAAATGTGCAACTTCTAAAAACCATTAGAAAGTAGTAATCTGACTGATAGGTGGTCACTTGACCTCTTCACTGTGGGTCTCGTTTTTCTAACAGGTGTTCCAGTGTTTACTGTGAGACAGGGGATACAGAGGTGAGATGTTAGCTAGGTAGCCATGGATGAATTTTTCATTTTTTTAAAAAGATTTATTTATTCATACAGAACTGGGGTACAGGCCAGAGATGTGGAGGGTGAGAGGATTCACCAGGACAGAGTGGGGGAGCAGAACAGGCAGATCGACGAAGTACACTGCTGAGGGGAGGAGCGGGCGGGTCAGGAGAGGTCTGCCACGCCATGTGGTCACCTCCGGGGCAGGCGGGATCGAACTCATGCGGAAGTGGCTTAAGCTTCTTAGTGCAGTGCTTTAACCCGCTGCACCACCAGGGAGGGCCGAATTTTTCATTTTTAAGACTTTCCAGAATATTAATATCACTAGGATGCTGGGGTTCATTTAATAAAATAGTTAATCCAAGGTAGGAATTGAGAATTGACATATACTTTCAAGATCTTTTACTCGAATTTTATCATTTTTCAAATGGAAAACTTGTGGTCCAGAGAAATTGACTTGTTCACCATCACACAGATAATTATAATAAAGCTTATCTCTTGTGGGTTCTAAGAGGACCCATAATCAGTTCATGTACATTTCAAAATTCTTATACATCTGATGAGATCTTACCTGGGAGATGGTGGCTTGTTTGAGGCCATATTGGAATTACTTTCCCCCTACTTCTGATTCATGAGGTTGATTATCCATTTAAGAGTAGAAAGGTTCATGCCCTGGCTGTTAGTATTTAATCACTTTGTGCCTCAGTATTCTTATCTGTAGAGTGAGGTAGCAGTAGTACCTTCCCAGGAAAGTTCTTATGAGCTCAGTGTATTGGTAAATGTGAAGTTTCTAGAAAAGGGTCCAGCAGGGAGTCAGGGCTCCATAAAGATTAACTTTGTTTCTATTATTTTTGTGTTCATTCACTTTCTCTCTTAATTCATCATCTTCAGCCTTTTAAAAAGTTGCTATCTCTGACATGAGGGTGATTCTTCCAAACGAGTTATATGAGAAAGCTATTGGAAACTACTAAGAGTATAAGAGCACAGACTTTCGAGCCAAACTACTTGGCTTCCAATGCCAACTTCTTTGACTTGGACAAGTTACTTGATCTCTGTGAGCTTGCTCCTAACCTGTAAAGTTAGGATTATTAGTAAAAATAAAATGCATCTGTAATGTAAAGTGTTTCATGTGGTGCCTGGCATGAAATTACTGTAAAAATGAAGGGTGATAAAGTTATTTTCCTGCTTCTCTTGTTCTCAGATCCCAGAGCCTCAGAATTGAGTTACATAGGCACTGACACTGGGGTGTATCTTTGGGCTAATCAGAACTTCCCTTCTTTCCTCCAATCTTGTCTGGAGCCAGCCTGTCAGCCTCAGTGTTCCATGTGCACCAACAGACACGAGTGCTCATCCTGCCACCCACCTCTGCTGCTGCGGCATGGGCAGTGTGTGCCCACCTGTGGGGATGGCTTCTACCAAGATCACCACTCCTGTGCAGGTAATCCCTGATGGGGCTATAGTGGACCACTGAGAAAACCACTCTATCCCCAAGGAGATCGGGGACCACCAGCAGCCATAAGCAGCTTTTTAAGTAAGAGAAGAAATTCTAAAGCAGATGGGATGTGAACAGTGCATGAAAGAGATGACATGCATTGTTTTTATGAATTTATTAGTGCTTTATTACTTGTGTATGGTATGATTGCTCTATGCGTCCTTCTCCACACACCTGGGAGCAACATAATAGTGCTTAATTAACACCACACTTTTGTCTCATGATTGTCATTGTTTTAAGTTGCAACCTTGTATAGTGTAACTATATAGTACTTACATGAAAACAAATGTTTTTTTCCTATATTTTTTTGTGCTTTATTTATACTTAAAGAGAGAGGGAGAAACAGAAATAAGGAAGTGACATCAGAGTAACAAATTTGGACAAGTAAAAGACAATAGGTATTTAAATTGACTCTTCATAGTCATATGCTCACTGTATATAATAGCATCTACAACTTAGTATCTGGTATAGCTAGTGTATATTAGTGTTTATAAACTCTAGTAGTTATATATACTTTTGTCTTTGTCTTTTTAATTTTTGTTTTTAATTTTATATTTTTAGTTAAGACCTAGTTGAATTTAATATTGACATGCTGTAAATCAATTTGTTGTTTACACTTTACCACTTTCTCAGCAGTGCTTGTCTAGAGAGTATGAGTAAAAGTATAAATGTGAAAAGAATTTTTTAAAAGATTTATTTATTTATGCATACAGAACTGGGGTACAGGTGAGAGGACTCACCAGAGACAGAGTGGGGAGCAGAACAGGCAGATAGACAAAGTATGCTGCCGAGGGGAGCAGTGTGTGAGACAGGAGAGGTCTGCTGCACCATGTGGACCACCTCCATGACTGGGGATCAAACTCAGTCTGAAGCAGCGAGGCTAGCTTCGTAGTGCTGCACTTTAACCTGTTGCACCACCAGGGAGGGCCTAGTGAAAAGAATTTTTAAACACAGAAATAAAATGGTGAAGGGAAAGAAAAGAGAGAGTTTTAAGTTTGTCTTTAGGAAAAGACATGGTATTAGATATACCTGGAACCTAAGTCAAGGTGTAAAACGGCAGGTAAATCAGAACAGGAATACAAGCCAGAGAGGTAGGTCTTAGATGGTATACCAAGGAACTGTGATAATCAAAAGATAGGCCAGTCTGACAACCATCTGATATATCCTCCCCTTTTTCATGCCCGTGTTTAGATTTTCAGGTAAAGACTCTCCAAGGGAAATAGCTAACTAGAGTAGTAAGTACATGGTATTCCTCAGGAGTGCAGTCTGGATCAACTCAAAGCCAAGTGAAAGTCCCATGTGGAGGAATCTGGTGGCCCCCACCATTCCAGCTTGTATCCAGAGCAAAGTCCCCAGGACTGTGGAAAACGTCTTAACATGAGTAGTTTCACAGCTTGCAGACCGAAGGAGAGTGGGCCTCTCCTGTCACCGGTCATGTCACAGAACACGGAAGGCTCGCTAGCTTCTGAGTCTGAGTCGGGGGCTATTTGAGGTCTGTAAGAATATCCACTTGCTTTCTGGGTCCCTAGCATCAAGGCCTGCACAGTATTTAGTGTTTGTTGGAACTATGATGGAGGAACATGCGACCCCTTGTTAATTTTTGAAGGACCCCTGTTTCAATAGATAAGTTTCAGCCATAAAAGAAAAAAGAACCTTTAATGTTTGTTACTTATCAGGTTCTGTTTACCTGTTATTTTAAAACAGGTACCAAGTGGGCACATAAAAACGCCTTTGTATGTGTCTAATGGTTGGGCAATTTAAGTAAACTACTGAAATTTCAATTTGAAGAAAATATTGAATGTATTCTTTGCTCCTTTCTTCTATCCCATCAAAGAGACCCCCTGCTAACACTGTCACAGATTACCTTTAAAAGGAAATTAATTCTCCTAGATTTTATTCTTCCTTCCATACCATCTCCACTGCCTGCTACACATGCCTGTGTGTACACAGACATGTTTACTTTCTTTCTTTTCTTTCCTTCCCATTTTCCCTTTTCCCATACCCAGTATTTTAATTGGTGATGTTAATGCTGTTTTAGGGCACTTTGAAATGGGTAATGTTTCATTTGATTACTGGTTTATGTAGCTGACTGCTTCCACATTCCATCCACACACCCATACACAAATGCCTCTGGTAGAAAGTTGCTGGGAAAATTTGTTCATGTTCCCTCCAGGGAATTAAACCAATTTGCTTTAGTTCAGCTTGGTTGCATTTTTATGCATAAAATGAGAAGAAAGAAGAGAGCAAGAGGAGAGAGAGAAGAGAAAGTGAGAGAGAGAGAGTGATCTTAGAAGTTAAAGATAAACTTGTGATCAGTTTCCATACACTGTCTTGGTTCTGAGACTCCCCATCTAATCTATCCAAATCAGCTTTCTGAATATTGGAATGTTTTTGCAATATTACCCCTTGTAACATCATTGGTGACTTTTCACCATTGTCTTGACGTAGTCAGTCAACCACCGTTCTCCCAGGCTTGAAAGAGAAGACAGCCATTTTTAGGTCACAACAGGTCTTTCTGGATAGATTCCTCTTGGCAGGGTCATTTATGTTATGACTGGCATAATTTGCCACTTTATTGACCCATTAAAGCCAAAAGAAAGGGAACATTGTGTTGGAGAAACTAATTAGCAAAATTGCCTGATTTAACATTCACATGCACTACATTGACTAGATGGTGGAGTGAAAAACATGGGATAGAGTCAAGTGGCACATGAACTTGGCATTTCTACAAAAGAGTAGGCGCAAATACACCCAAGAAGGGCCAAAGAAAAGTGTTCTGAGGCCTTCTCATTTTCCCTTTTTGACATGCACACACATCATTATTTGTACAGATGTGCATATATGTCTATAGATTGTTACCATTGCTACATTCTTGTACTTGGTCATATTGAACGATTTGTGAGTATACAGCGCTTGAGACACTTGTTGCAAGCCCTCTACTGGTCCTTCTGTCTTTCCCAACTTTGGAGTTTGGTGCCTTGATTACTTTAGCTAAAGCACAGCATTACCTAATTTTTATGCCAATCAAAATCAGAGGCAGGGGTATATAAGTTGCCCTTTTCCCATAGCACATAGAGCCAAGGCTAATCACCCACTTCATCCCTAAAACTCAGCTCTGGCACTTGGACTTCTGCAGGCACCTTAGACTTTCTTTGCCACAAGCTGGGATCTGATCCAGTATCCCTCTTGCTCTGATTCATTCTTCTTAGTCCCCATGTGGTTCTAGGACTGGGCTTCTAGTTTGATTCTTGCCACCTTTTCCTGCTGTGATGTTTCTTAGAGCTAATAGCCTGTCTCTTAATCACACTCAGTCTGATTGCTTGACCTGTAGGGATGCTCTTTATCACACCCCAGCCACCCACATGAACTGGCACCATCTTATAGGGTTCTCAAGTACCACATGTGCTGAGTTCATTGTATTCTCTCAGAGTAGTGGTTCCATTGCCTCTTATCATGAAATGTAAAAACCCTACTGTGAAAACTAAACCTGGATCCAGATCAAACTCACCATACCCTGAGAACATTTTCGTGCCTGTCTTGTCCTTCTTTTAGCCATCCTCTGCTCCACTCTGGTGGCGGCACTGCACTGTGCACATGGATCCTATCCACAAGAGCCCATAAGAAAAGGTGAAATAACTGAAGTAAAACACACCACACTAGATTAGTTAAAAATGAATGGATTATAGGGCCCTTCCTGGTGCTGGTGGCTCTACAGTTTAGGACACAGCACTGCAAGCTGTGGCAGACTCGTCAGTGTGAGTTCGATCCCTGGCCCTGGAGGTGACCCACATGGCATGGCAGATCTCTTCTCACCTGCCCACTGCTCCCCTCAGCAGTGTACTTTATTGATCTGCCTGTTCTGCTCCCCACTCTTTCTTCAGTGAAGCCTCTCACTGCCCCTGCACCTCTTGGCTGTACCCCAGTCCTCTATAAATAAATAAAAATCTTTTAAAAAAGAGTGGATTATAAACCTATAAACTTGGAGTAAAAACAGTGGAATTAGTCCTTTTTTATTTTGGTTCATGGATATAAAACTTAATTATTCACAAAGCCCTCAGAACTGGGGTAGCGCTCCCTCTTTCTGCTGACCCTTAGAGGGGAGGGAAGGTGACATATCTCAGAGTACAGGCTCTGTCACCAAATCCACCCAGCTTCTTATCTAATTCTGTCACTTACAAAGGCATATTCTTTAACTCCTGCTCTGATTGCCTCCTGTGGCAATGTACAACCATTATGGTCGCTCACCTACTTGCTCAGTGTCTTCTGGAGGGGGTTTATTGCTTCAAAAGATACTCTGTCTCCTCCCTTCTGTTAGTGCAATGGCTATTTGTGTTGAGACGTTTCTCTGTACCAAGTGTGGGTGGAGGGCGATAGAGAGGGACACAGCAGGAAACTGTCAGGCAATTGTCCAGTGGTTACGGAACTTACTTAACCACCAACCTAGAGTGTTGGTAAAAATGTAAAAAGGTAAAATAATTTCAGATAAGGAGCACAAGGGACTATGGTGATGGTGCATGGGTGAATTGGTGGTGGGAATTTCATGGGGAAATCATACATTGTAGAAAAATGAACAGTGATGGAATGAATTTACTTAATTTTAAAAATTTTTAAAAATTAAAAAATTCAGATAGTTCTAACATATGAATTCCTTATTATTGGTGCTGTAAAGACAGTTTTAAAAATATGTCAAAAGAAGTGACTTATTAATGAAGCCAGGACAGGTCTAAATCTGAAATCTTCTAAATTCCTCACACATAAGGCCTCTAGAATAATTTTTCGTACACCATTACATAGAGGAGAAAAGGTAAGAATGTACAGGCATGCCTACACGTTGGCCTATGGGTGACCTGCCATCCACTTCTGTTATTTACTCCCAGTCAGCAATTACTGACCAGGTATGGACTCAGGATAATCAAAAAATCTCTATTTTTCCCATCTCTCTTTTT